TCCAACAACGGTCCCCAGCAGCAGTGGCGGTGGCCTCCTGGAGCATCCCGGGGGCCTTGGAGGCAGCTTGCAGCAACAGCCTCCAGCAGCAGTAGCGGCCTGCCCGTCCCCCCCCCCCCAGCCCCAGCATCGTCCTGGGGACAGGGGGTACATTGTGGATCAGAGCCATTCATCCTTTATACTCAAGTCTGATAACTCAGGAACACCTGGGTGCAAGTCAGACAACCCATGCACACCTGGGTGTCCATGCACATCCACAAACAATAGCCAAAGAACTCCCCCGGGCACACATGCACAGTTATATTTACATTGAATGTTTGGCAAGATTCTGAACATCCGAGGGACCCTAACCATTTATATTTCACTTTCCCTACACATGCATATGTACTTTTTACACAAAGGTTAGCAGAGGACACGTGCTGTTCTATATCTTCTTTACTGTACCTGGGGCTTGTTTTACTGTGGTTCATGTGGAGCTGCCTTGTTCTTTTTAATGGTTGCCAAGTATCCCGTTTTATGGCTGTAGCATATTGAGCCAGTCCCCTATGGATGGACATGGTTTGTTTCCAGGAATGTTGCAGTGAACAGCTTAGTTTATACATCTTGTGTCTGGATGCATAAATTGCTGCAAATGAGATTCCTGGGGTAGTAGTCAGGTTTGTGCCAGGGAAACAGAACCAGTAGGATACATGCATATAAAGAAATATGCTTCAAGGAATTGGGTTATGCAGTTGTGGAGGCTGGCAAGTCCAAAATCCTAGGACAGGCCAGCAGGAAAGGGAGGCTGGATGCTGGGGCAGGAGCCAAGGCTGAGTCCACACATGGAACTTCTTCCTCAGGGAAACCTCAGTTTTGCTCTTACAGCTTTTCAATGGTTTGAATGAGGCCCACCCACATTATCAAGGATAATCTTTACCTAGAGTCACCTGGTCATAAATATTAACCACATCTACAAAATACCTCTATGGCAACACCTAGATTACTATGTGATTGAATCACTGGGGACTCCAGCCTAGCCAGGCTGACACATGAAACTGTCACACCAGGGGAAAAGACAGCACTTGTTTTAGATTGTTCAATATTACCCATGGAAGTCTGTTTCCTTGCACCCTTACTAGTTGAGTCTGCACTAAAGTTGTTGGGTTTTTTGGATAGTCTGAGGTTAAAAAATTATGGCTTCTTGTAATATTAATTGGCAGTTCTCTGATCACCATCTTTTCTTGTGTTAAGAGTTATTTCCATTTCCTGCTCAGCAAACCATTCATCGGACAGGCACTCTTTGCACAGGGAGATACCAGACCCTTGTGATTTATGATGCAAATACTCTATAGTCTGTCGTTTGCCTTGTGACTCTGTCTGTGGTGGTTTTAGACTATGCTGACATGTTTGAGATTTGTGGGTTGGACCCAATCATCACTTCTCTTTAGGCTTCTGTGGTTTTCATCATACTGTATCTCTCTGAGATTGTAAGCAAAGTCTACAAAATTTTCTCCAAGTAATTTATTATTTCAACTTTCATATTTAAACCTTTGATCCATTTGGAATTATTGGACAGCAAGAACAAGGCAGGATCAGGATGGCTAGCAGTTGTCCGAGATCCATCGCTGAAGGACCACCCTGTCCCCACTGGTACATGCCCTGCCATACCCCCTGTCCCCGTGCATTGGGTGTTTTTCCAGACCCCACCTTCTGTTCTGTGGCCTTGCTTTCCATCTGTCAGCCTGCACATGCCGCAGTAGTACATCTCCATACAGTGCTCTGTCCAGTACAGCTCGACCCCCCTCAGTGTCCCCACTTTTCTCTTTCTTTTCGTATTGGGGTAAAATACGTATGACATGCATTTCACCACCTTAGCCATTTTTAAGTGCCACAATTCAGGGGCATTAAGTACATTCACACTGTTGTGCAGTCATCTCCACCGTCCATCTGCAGGAGCTTTTCATCTTCCCAAACTGAGACTCTGTCGCCATTAAATACTCACTCCCCATTCCTCCTTTCCCAGCCCCTGGTACCCACCCCCCTACTCTCTGTCTCTATGAATTTGCCTCCTTTAGGGACTTTACAGAAGTGGACCTTATACAGCATTTGTCTCTCTGTGACTGGCTTATCTCGCATCGCAGAACGTCCTCAAGGCTTATCCATGTTGGAGCATGTCAGAATTTCACTCCTTTTTAAGGTAGAATAATATTCTATTAATATAGATTCACATTTTTTTATCCATTTGTCCATCAGTGACACTTGGGTGGTTTTCTCCTTTGGCTCTTGCTCGTGGAGCTGCTGTCAATGTGGGTGCACAGACATCTGCACCCTCGCTTCTTTTTATGCAGACATTGTCTACCTATTTTTGTTTGTTTGTTTCAATGTTTTAGAATTAGCCCATCCAGTTCCTTGTGAACAAAGAGAACTGTCCGTATGCTTACTGGGATTACATTCAATTCATACGTCTCCGTAGGGAGAGCTGATATCTTTCTGATGTCAGTCTTCCTGTCCGAGGTTGTCATAGATCTTTCCATTTTTACAGTCTCATTTGGGGGGACCTCAGGGATATTTTAGAGTTTTCTTTGTGTAGATTATGCACATTTCTGCAGTTAATGCCACATATCTTCTTGCTGTTGTCCCTACTGGAAAGAGGTCTTTGCTCCCACCATGCCCCCTGTTTGCTGGTGGCAGATAGGATTTCTGTGGGAGTCTCATGCCGCACACCCCTGCTTTTTCTCCTGCTGTTTGTGGTGGTTTTGCAGCTGCTTCACATGAGTTTCCCAGTGACTGCTCATGCCTGCTGCAGACAGAGACTGCTTTTCCCTCCCCGCTCTGATCTTGTACCTCCAACTTCCTTTCCTTGCCTCCTCTGGTCCATTTAGTGCAATTTGAGCCAGTAGTGCAGATAATAGGCATCTTTGTCTTGTCTCTAACCTTGATGAGCATGCCACTTCCCTATGAAGCATGATTCTCACCAGGCTGTAATCGAGGTGTCAGCAGGGCTGCATTGCTCTCTGGAGGCTCTGGAGAGAACCCACTTCCTTTTCCTTGTCTTTTCCAGCTTCTACAGGCTACCTATGTCCTTAGCTGTGCCCCTTCCTCTGTCCTCAGAGCCAGCGGGCTTGCATCTGTCCTATCTTCTTCCAAAGTCACCTCTCCCTCTGCCTTCCTCCTTGTGATGACATTGGGCCCCCCAGATAATCTCCTATTTTGAGGTCAGCTGATGAGCAACCTTCATTCCATCTGCAAGCTCAGCTCACCCTTTGCAGTGTATTCAGAGGTTCCAGGAATAGGACGTGGGCCTCGTTGGGGTCATTACTCTTCCTAGCATGCTTGTCATTCAGTGAGTTGGACTTCCCTGGGCCAGGGATTTGCACAGTGTCCTGTGGGCACTGAGGAAAGGGCCCAGGGTGGAGGTGCAGGGTGGCTGGTCTTTACCACCGAAGACTTCTTCTCTGTTGCCTGCACACCTGGCCCATATCCTCTACTTCCCCAGACCCACCAGCCTTGCTCAGCAGGGTAGAACCTTCAAGGTAGCACTGTGCCTCCCCATCTGATGTGTGCTGTCCCTCTCCATGCCCCTCCATCACTGTGCCTTCCACTCTGGCCACCACTACTTTTGCCACATGCTATTCCCAGGCTGCAGATGGCCTGTCTTCTACATCCACTAAAACTGGGCGTCTGACGTTCTCGTTGTTTGACCTGATGCCTTGGGCAATTTCCAGGACAAGGAGAAAATGATACCAGATGTCTCTAAAGATATTGTGGGCACTTGATTTTGTCCCTGCAGATATCAGCCATTCCTTTCAGCTTTACGCCCCTTCTGTGACATGAGGCTCCCCTGCCCACACCCTAACATCCCTGAAGGCTTCCCTTTGCTCCTGTCTTCCTGCCTGCACTTCCATCTGGTGATGGGCCACGGCCTTTGTTTGCTGTGGTCCTGGAACACATACCAGATGTCCTCTCTGTCTCACTGACTCTGTCGATTAGCATTCACTGAGTGCTTATCATGTGCCTGGCATCCTTCTAAACTTGGATCTTTCAACACAGTTAATCTTTTTCACCATTCCATAAGGTCAGTACTAACATCCCTATTTTATAGAGAAGGAAACTGAGGCACGGGAGATGGCAGAGCTTGCTCAGGTACCAGTACATACCTATTTCCCAAGAGATCCAACTGTCTCGGGAAAGAAAATTTTCACCGACAGGCGGGGCTTGCGGAAGATGGAAGGAAATGGCAGGTAACTTCCTACATGCACACGCTCACAAGGCTCCCTTCTGAGGCTTTTGATAGCCCAGCCTCTGTTCTGCTAAGTCATTTGAGGGTTGATAAAAAAGGACAGGTAAAATCTTTTCCACAGAGCTGTGAATAATTTGGAAATGCAGTTTTTGTGCTCAGTCTCTCCACTTGCCATTTTAGAGCATAGTTTACCCTCTTTCATCAGAGGTACCCATTTAGTGGTCAGGAAAAGCTGGTGGGAATACGGAATCCCGTCTGCACCGTGACTCGTAGCTGGAAGGTTCTCCTCACTGTGCATACTTCCTCTCTGCCTCCAGCCCAGAGGACACTGATGGGTTTGGAACCCAGGAGATAGACCTGGCACCTGCTAGGGTCTCCCTCATTGGAAATCTGGTGCCCCTGATGCCCACATGGCGAGGGCAGACCTCTCCTGGCGGTCTCCCCTCAACCTTCTGTGGCATCCCTTCCTTCCAGGAGGTCAGCAAGCGCATCTCCAGCCACATCCCTCTGACCATCCAGTTCTTCGTCCTCCAGACCTACGGCCAGTTGCTGCAGAAGGGCATGCTGCAGCTCCTACAGGACAAGGATACCTACAACTGGCTCTTGAAGGAGCGAAACGACACCAGTGACAAGAGGAAATTCCTGAAGGAGCGGCTGGCACGGCTGGCCCAGGCTCGGCGCCGGCTTGCCAAATTCCCTGGGTAATCGGGTTCTCCATCCAGCTCCGTGTCTCCCAGGCACATCTCCAGGGAGAAGGGGCTCCACACCACTCCTGATAGCTGTGCCATTATTAGTTATCCATGTAGCAGGTACTTAAATAGTCAGACTTTGTAGTCACAGCCTCTGCTTATCCATTAGCTGATGAGGACGTAGTGAGAAGCTACCACATCCAGTGCTGGGACAGAAGCCCTGCCCTCAGGTGTGGTCTAGATCGGATGAATGTGCCCCTTTCCTTACTAAGAAAATGACTGTCAGCTCTCAGGATCCTTCCCCTCCTCTGAACTGTCCCCTTCTCTTTATTAGAAGCCAAGGCAGGCCAAGCATCCTAGAAGGGTCGTTGCCTGGTCTTGTGACATCCTGTCATGCCCCAGTGATTTAGGAGTGTCAGTTCCCCGTATGAGCACTTGTAGGAGCCATGTCCCATCCCTTTGTAATAAACTTGTTTCTAGCAGACATTTGACATTTGATATTTTGGGGGAAGCCTAAAGACGGCAGCAGGTAGGAGCCACGTGAAGCACACAGGACACAATGTCCCCCTACCCCCCGCTGGGTAGGAATGGGGTCTGATTGTTTCCTAGAGACTAAAGGGAGATGGGAACAAACTCAGAAAAAGGAAAGAGCATGTGAAGGCAGTGGCATTCATTGCTTATAGTATTCACTGATCAAGTGTCCTATTGGTTTAGTCACTGGGTACCTAGCATGGAGTTGGAAAACTACAGGTGCTGGTGAAGAAAAGGTGCCAGCAGGACTTTGCATGCAGATGCTCTGGCTGGGGAGGGGTCTGGGAAGCCGCGAAAGTGGAATATTAACCATGAAGTTAATGGAAGGAACCGTGGCTTCCTGACTGTTCTCTGTTCTAGCAGGGGGAGAGGGGAAGCTTGCAGACACGCCGCTGCACCCTACACCTGATCCTCCGAGAACCGTGGCTCCAAGTCAGGGCTGCTGCGGGGCCACAAGGCCACGTGGGCTCAAGGGCAGGAAATTGAACAGTGGGCTATGGATGGAGGGGACAGGAGAGGACCCGACACCATGTACTTTAAAGGGAGAGTGGAAAGTCACGAACACCTGAGCCTAGAAAAGAGAAGGCCAGGGGCTGATTAGAGGGGAGGTGTGAGGACCAGTGAGCACAGGCATGGGGGTACTTTCTACAGAGACATTGGGGGTGGGATGGCTGCTGCCTCAGGAGCTGTAAGCTCACGGGCAGGGGAGGGCCTCAGGCCAAGCTGGACACCTGCTTGTCAGGTGGGGCTGGACTAGCGACCCCTCCCATCCACACCCTCACTCCCAGACCACTTCTGGTTCCTGAGACTCTATGAGGCAAATCCCTTGGGACAAACAGAATTTACTTAAAAGAGAGGATGCAGCAGAGCGATGGGCATTGCACAGTCCAGGTCAACAGCCATGGCCTGGCCGTGCTTTCACGTCTCCAGGCAGTCACTATCCACCTGCAGTTGACTCAGAGCCACTGGGAGTTAGCAGGAGCCAACAGGTTTGCCTCGCGCTTGAAAGAAAGACCACACCAGTACTCACAGGCTTCTGTAAGAATAAGGATGGGCAGGCAGTGCAAGTATCCATAACTCAGCACTAGGTGCCTGTCCCTTTAATGGACGTAGCCAGGCCATCCCTTCCTGGAGTAGGTGAGCCTCAGGAGGCAGGCCCTTTCCTTGCGGCGGGCGCCCCCTTGTGGCTGGCCTGAGTAACGTCTCCACTACAAGGCGTCCCTTCCTGCCACCTCCCCCAACCCTCTCCTGTCAATCTTCCACTGCCCTTAAGGAACAGTCAGCGGTGTCAAAGTGTTGCATAGGATTCTGCTGTGCTATTGTGACAGTTTTCCTAGTGATACCTAAAGAGGATGGAGGAAGAAAGTTGCTCTAGAGAAGGGGAATTTAACTGGGAGAGGAAACCTGCTGGGGACCCACCCAGGCTCACAAAAACTTTCCTTCTGGCCAAAAGGAACAAGAGTCTGAGGTTCCCCCAGGCCTGTCCTACCTAGTCCTGTCATGGGAGAAGTGAGTTGTCCCTCGTTCCAGGGGTTCAGAACTCAGAGAGAGCCATGGAGACCTCCTTGTGTGTCTTCTCCACTCAGTGGGGGCCCCGGGGTTAAGGCAAGTGGCTGAACTGCCCCTCCCCCACCTCCCACACACGAGGGGCAGCACTGGTATCAGGACCCTCACCTCCAGTTTCTGCTGCCTGCTCTGTAGCACCAGCTTGAAGGTCCATCTGCCTGTACAGAATATACTAGAATGCCGAGGATGTCCACTCACGGACCCTGACTCTGGATAGGTCTGGGGCTCAGCTGACCCTGTAGGAACAGTATCAGGACCCTCACCTCCAGTTTCTGCTGCCTGCTCTGTAGCACCAGCTTGAAGGTCCATCTGCCTGTACAGAATATACTAGAATGCCAAGGATGTCCACTCACGGACCCTGACTCTGGATAGGTCTGGGGCTCAGCTGACCCTGTAGGAATGCTGGTCAGAGCTCACTCCATCCTCGAGGCCTTCAGGGCTCTGGCTTCAATGGTTACAGTTTTCCCCCTACACAAGTCGCTTAAATAAAACTGAGGAAGGGACAGGGAACAGAACACTGTGCTTGTAAGAAGGGGAGTGACACTGGCAACCCCAAAGACAAGCAGCAGGAGGCTGCAGGGCACCTGGGATTTCTGTCTTTGGCACAGCTCCACTTTTGTCTCTAAGTCCCTTACAAGCTTCTCACCCTGCCCCTCGGGGTGTGGAGAAAGCAGCTGCACAGCACTCGATGGATCCACTCTCCCCGATCCCTGCCAGTTATCACCCTCAATAGTAATAATAATAATAAATTCCTTGTAAACCGTATGGAGTTGTCCGCTTCGTTCTTTGGTCTCAGGATACCTTCTCAGTGTGGTGGGCATCATACTGTTAGCTCACACTTGGACAGACCCCATAGGATGGGGTTGAGTTTGGAGCAGATCAAGGAGAGGTCCCAGAGAGAACCGAACAGATGGAAATAGAAAGCCCCAGTTTTCCAGAACACAGGGTCTGGCATGCTGCCAGTGCTTACTAAATGCTGTGGGAGGAGAATGGAGATGAGAGGAGACCAGGTATAAACCTCATTCAAATGGTGTTCTGGATCCATGACTATCTTCTGAGATGCTGGGGAGCACCTGTGTTTATAACTATCCTCCTCAAGCAAAAAGCAAAGACAAAAATAGCCGACCAAGCAGAAAAGTCCCCAGACAGCAGTTTTTGTTTCGGAGGAAGGGAATCAAATCGGAGTGGCAGATCTTCTCCACCAGGCAGCAAGAAACACAAGAAAAGAAACAACACATCTTGGCTTTCGATCTGTCAGATTCCCACTTTTTTTTTCCTGCATGGGAAAAAAGACCCAACTGTCTGAGTAGTTCGGTGGGTTCTCAGGCGGTTATCAGATCAGTCTCTTTAATCACAGCAAAGAGGATGTCTTGCATGAGCTGTCCAGCTTGTGGGGGACTCAGACACCAATAGTCATGGGATCAATTCATTTAAAGGGAGTTCGCTGTTATATGAATGATTTTTTTCAACATTACTTTAGAAATAGTATAAATTCCAGCACTGTCTTAAAACGCTGGGCGCACCAGGAATCTGAGTTGTGGACTATGCTGGATCATCTTAATACATCACCCTCTCTTTGTGTCAAAGCAGCACAGGGCAGTGGCCATGGGACTGAACTCCAGCCAGGGTGGGTGTGGCTGTCCTCTGTGGTGAGAGCTTTGGCCTGAAGAGAAAAACTCTGAAATAGGAGCATGATCGGGTGAGCCACAGGAGAACCAGAAGAGCAAGCTGGAACACACCAGGGATCTGAGTGTAAGGCAAGACTGTACCCTGCAACTCTGCGAGAGGGCCCCATCAAGGCAGCATTCACTCCAACACCGAGGCTCACCTGTTCACCCAGCTGTGAGGAGACCACGTGACCAGCACCCATGAGCGCTTTATTCTAATTAGCATTTGGGGTTCATTTATATTAAGCAAATTAACTTATGGCTTTTTACAAATGTTTAAATACAAAAATGTCAATATTTCCCTAATCTCTTAGCTTCCCGGCTATCCTTTTCAGTAAAAGCAGCCTCATCCAAAAGTAAAATCATTTTCCAATATGAAAAGTATAACTGAAAAAAATATCAACTGCTTTGCTCATGTGGACATTTTAGGTATGCAGTCGATCCTCATTATTTGCAATCCCTTGTGAATTCACCTACTTGCTAAAATTTGTTTGGAACTCCAAAGTCAACCAGCAGCACTCTCATGGACATGCACACCGTAGTGAAAAGTTTGAGTCACCCAATGTGTACGTTCCCAGCTGAGGTCCAGTGGGGGCCGCTCTGCCCCGTTCCAGCAATCCTACCATAAACAGTGTCCTTTTCACAGTCCATTCAGTGCCATGTTTTCTGAATTTTTGTACTTTTTGTTGATTTCTCTGTTTAAAATGGCCCCAAGTGTATTGATGAAGTGCTGTCTAGTGTCCTAAGCATCAAAAAGCTCTGATGTCTCTTAGGGAAGAAATGTGTTAGAGAAGCTTTATGTAGGCTGGGCTATAGGGCTGCTGAATGTGAGCTCAATGTTGATAAATCAACATTATATATTAAATAAGGGGCCTTTAAACAGAAACACACATAAAACAAGCTTATATATTCATTAGTTGATGAAAATGTTGCGATCAGAGGCTCACGGAACTTAACTCTTTTCCCCAGTATTCCTGATTCAGCATTCATGATGACTTTACAGACCCACAGCTCCAGCAAATAATGAGAATCAATTATATTTACCAATATTATCTAATAAAAAAATTTTTGCTTTACTTTTTTTACTTTCTTTTTTACCTTTTTTCCATGCTTTTGACACATTATGACATGATGAAGCCAATCACCAGTCATTTTTTCCAACCACTTGTCACGTATCGAGGACTGCTAAGAAGGACAAATTTCTGTTCTCAAGAAGGGAAAGGTCATCCACTTTCTATCCCTCCCATAGTCCCAACTACAGGGCATTGGGGTAATACTACCTGAGGACGCGTCTCTGCCCCCATGAACTAATAATAGGGACTTTAGGAAGAAATCTTTAGGGCACAAAATGCTAGACTAAATTTTGGACAGGCTGGATCTGAGGACATGAGACACTGGGCAGAGAGGTCAGAAGACTGTTGGCTCTCGAGGTCTGAATCTGGGAGAGGCGGGAACCCCAGGCAGTGGCCATTCCGGAGTCACTGAGGGTCATCTCCAACAGGACAGGCTTCAGGAGCTGATGGGACCCAGCAGTGGACTCCCAGCCCGGCCCCTCAGCCACACTGTGGCAGCCCCACGTCCTTCCCGCACAGGCTGAGTCTGCTCACCAGGCAGAGTACCAAAGACTTAGTAAATACTTGGAAAAAAACTGTATAATTTATTTGTACAATATTTCACAATTGAATTTTACAGCTTAAAAAAGACATAAAAGAGAAGACAAACTGTTGGTTACATAAATAAAAAGTGCTAGAAAAGAAACACGTTTTCACCATTACAACGCTTTTTATTACCTGGCTTGGGGAGCAGGACCCTCAGTGTTGTGCATTTGCAGGAGCCCTGGGGATGCTGCTGCCCACAGAGGCACGTGGGACAGAAGCACCCTGTGAATGGGACTGTACAAACTCCCGTTTCAAGGTGAAGTCCTAGCAGTAGAATCTTTCATCTCATTCCTGAAAACCAGCGTGCCTGGGGAGGAGGCAAGACCACAGGAGAGCAGCTCTCAGTCCCAGCATCTGCGCTCGGCAACAGCAGATGGCTCTTCCCTCCGGTGGGAACCACGGCCACGGGAAGGGGCCACAGGAAGTCCAAAACACTTCTGTCTTCTCTGTCACCAGCACGGCGCTTGTCTTCAGCACATTCACTCACAGAACATTAAATTAGGAGCCAGTCATTGTGTAAAAGCAGCTCAAATACACCACTGCTCACACTCAGCAAGGATGGCAATAACTTCAAAGAGCAAATGCCAGTGAGCGACTCAGAGGCATCCCAAGCCAAGATTCCAGGAGCACTGAGGTAGTAACATGCAGAAACAGGACACAGAAACAGTGCATCTTAAATTGCGCATCCCTGATTTCCCCAGTGACCTCGATTTCCATGTGATTAGCAGGCCTGAAGAGGGTCAGCACAGTGCTCGACTCAGCCCAGTGCCAGGACCGAGGGGTGTGCACAATCTCCACGGAGGCTGGGGGAGGCTGGGAGGAGGGCGGAGTGCAGCAGTGAGACCTGCACCAGCAGAGGCCGGGCAAGCACCTTTGCCAAGGATTCTCCGCTTCCCAGGGCTCCGTCTACGCACTCAGCCTCACGAGAAGAAAAAAAGATTTCTGCTGCCTTTACAAGTGACTGTCATGTTACCACCCATGAAGGACTGGTCCCTTTATTTTCAACCACCGTCTGTCCAGGGCTACTAAGGTACTAAGAAATGATCAGCAAGATCCCCAGGTAGAGGGGCCAGGCCCAGGGCCGTATGGGTGGCCTTCCCCTGGTGGTGGCCCCAGAGGGCAAACCCTGAAGGTCTCTCCTCCAGCTTTCTCCCTTTCCTTCTCAAGCCGTCCAGCAGCTGAGAGGTCACAGCTCCAGGCTCATCCAAAAGTGGCCCCCAGAACAGGCTCAGAAAAAAGACCCCCACAGGGCAGCCTCCTCCCCTCCCCACTGCACTTGTCCCAAGGTGCCCACACCCAGCTGGGCCAGTCACCCCTTTGAAGAAGGGGTCAGGGAGAATAGGCCCGGGGTAGGGGAGCTCATTGTGGCCTGCACACAATGGCGGAAAGTGCCAAAGTCAGACAAGTTCACTATTTAATAAAAATGAAAGGACCTCTGAATCATCTCTAGTAATACATCATGCACCGGGAATCAAAAATCAGCCCTTCATTGTTTTGTGAAATGATGTCAAGGACAAAAGCCATATGGATTAGTTGTTTGCCTATATGGAAAAAAACAAAACAAAACAAATATTATTTTCTATTGACATGAGGCATTATAAATCAAATAAGCAATCTTAACAGCACAAAGGCACAATTTTTTATCTAGTGTGCAGGTCAAACAGTCAGGCTGACCATGCCTGGAGGGCACTAGGTGTTGGGGAGGCAAACGGCTTAGCACAACTGGAATACAGGCCTCTGTCCAGGAAAATCAGCTTGACATTGGCCACTAACATACCTCAAGTGTGTAATTAGCAGAGTCCTTGCTTTCTGCCCTGCTGTCTCTCCTGGCCCTCGGCCCTTTCCTCCCACATGATGGCCACGCTGAAGCACCTGCAGTCCCTAAACGCACCCTGCTCCTTGCTGTCTCCACACTGCAGAGATAGCCCGCCCTTCCCCTCCTGAGCCCACCCTGCCCCGCTGGCTTCTCCTGCCTCATCACCCCGAGCAGGACAGCGGATTGCCTATTACCAGTGCTCGGCCCTTCACCAGGCCAGGGCTGTCCAGAGCCCCGTGGTCACTCAAAGGTCCTGGGACCCATGATTTCATTTTGAGGGAGACAGAGATTGGGCCTGGGGGGCAATGTCCCCTGGTCCTGCCCCTCCATCAACAAACTGGGCACTTGGGAGACTTGAGAGGAGATGAAATAGGATCTTTTCTTTCACCAGAAGCCCAGCCCTAGAAGGAGCAGAAATCTGAGAAAGCTGCTGTCCCGAGATGGGAAGATGTGGTCTTTGCCCAAGGCCAGGGCTCTGCTAAGCAGCGCGAGTCAGGCCGGGAGTTCTGGGGGACGGGAGCATGGGGGCTCCCTGGGACTTTGCTCTCCTCCCAACCTTTCCAGAGAACTCCAGCTGCGCCTGAACCTCTGACCTGGGGTCTGCCCAGGACCCACACCACAGCCCCAGAAAAGGAGGGACACGGGCACGACCCCTCCCTTGGCTCTCTGCCACCACCCAAAGTTTGCTTGGACAAGGTCTGGGTGGGTTAACCAGGTCAGGTAGGCCAGAACTAAGTGTGGTCAACAGAGCCCAAAGGAGGCTCATGCAAGCTGAGACCCAGATTTTGAAACTACCTAAACTAGCTCAAACAGGTTCTATCTCCCCCTCTCAAGTGGTTTTAGGAGTTATCTCGCAGGATGTAAGCTGAGCAAGGGCAGTAAGAAGGGCCTTGCCCTCCGGACGACCTCGAGCACCGGGGGTACCAAATATCTCCCATCTACAGAACTAAAAAGCTGGGAATTGAATCACCGGAGCTTTTCCTGAAGCCAGAAAAGGAAGGAAGACAGCGTACGATCAACTTTTGCCTACTCGTATGACTGACTTGGAGCTAGCCAATCAGCCTTTGCCTAGTCGTATGACTGACTCAGAGCTAGCCAATCAGCCTTTGCCTAGTCGTATGACTGACTCAGAGCTAGCCAATCAGCCTTTGCCTAGTCGTATGACTGACTTGGAGCTAGCCAATCAGCCTTTGCCTAGTCGTATGACTGACTCAGAGCTAGCCAATCAGCCTTTGCCTAGTCGTATGACTGACTCACAGCTAGCCAATCAACTTTTACCTAGTCGTATGGCTGGCTCAGAGCTAGCCAATCAACTTTTGCCCAGTTCTTTGCCCTTTACAAACCCTTTAAAACCTGCCCGCCCCTGGATCAGGGATGAGCCCTGCCTCTTGCCTCCTTGCTGGTCAGCCTGGCAGTAAAGCCTTTTTCTTTCCTCAAAACCCCGCACCATACCACTGACTTCTGTGTGCATCGGGCAGCGAGCCCTGGCTCGGTAGCAGTTTTTGCATCCAAGCACCAGCGGGCACATGCAAGTGGTGCCAGGCAGTGGGGTGGGCAGCCCCGGAGGGGTGGGGAGCAACCCCACAGCAACCTGGTGGCCGTGGGAGACAGGGTCTGCCCTGCTGCCAAGCGGTCAGCTTCCTGCAGGAAGGCCACGCCTGCAGACATCCGGCTGTGGCTCGAGGAGGCAGAAAACTCAGTCTGAAGGAGGACGGAAAAGTTACCCTCATTTGCTGATAAATCCAGTCTGTGAATACTGTCACGTTCCCATACACGCCTGGTCTGTTAGCCTTGGCGCAGCCGGACCCCCAGCTTGTGTCCCCAATCAACCACCAGACGTTGTTCTTCAAAGTGACCAAAGGCCCTCCACTGTCACCCTGGGAGACACAGCAAGTTACCAAGAGCAGAAAATCAAGTCACAACCCAACGCTCACCACCGACTGTGCACAGAGAGGGGTGGGCAGCGGGGTGCATCTCAATGTGAGTTACAAGTGGGCTGGGGTTCCAGTGGTGATAGGGACCCAATCCCCAAAGGAGACTGTACCGGGGACGAATTCCAGTCTATCCCAGCTACCAGTTACTAAAGAAATTGCTGTTCATAGTTTAAGATAGTCACAATACTCATTTCTGTCCCACTGACACTTTTCTCATGGAAGTTTCTGCAGAGGAAGCTGTGGCAAGTGGAACTGGGGGGTAGTACTCGTTTCTGCCACCCAAAGCTTCCGCTGTGTTAGCACCATCCTCCCCACAGCCACCCGAGGTGGCTCCGTGTCCCCAGGATGCTCCCCTGGCCCCACGGGTCTCTCACTCAGGGCTCAGTAGGAGCTACAAAGCCCAAAGGCTGAATAAAAACTTGGAATTACCTGGCAGGAATCAATGGTCCCCTGCAGGTACCCTGCGCAGATCATGGCTGACGTGACCATGTTATTGTAGACATATTTGCTGTTACATGTCTGGGGCTCAATTAGCTGCACCATGGCAGCATTCAGTACGTCAGAGGTCGTCCCTAAGGACAGAGGGACATCATTGAGCTCTCAGTGCTGCCAGCAGCTCGCACAGGAAGAGTGGACTCCCCTCGCTGAGACCACCACACACACTATGTCCCCTCTCTCCTCCCTTCTCCCCTCCCTCAGTCCATCATCACACCAAGCCCTCTCCTGACCACAACCTGCCCCCTGACATCCACAAGAGGGGTGAAGATCCTGAGGGCACAGATGTCTGTCTGTCTTTGTTCACTGCAGTACTCCCAGTGCCTAGCTGGCACCCACCCATCATGGGTGCCACACGTGTTTGTTGATTGCCAAGAAGACTCGCTCACGTGTACAGCTCAACTGCAGTAAGTCTCCTTACACAAGGCACCAGGATGCACCCCCCCCACTACTGCCTCCAATTCTCCCCCCAAATCACCCAGCCCTTATGGTTTTTCTTGTTTTAAAGGATTTGTTGTAGGTGTGCCCTAAATGCTTTTTAGAAGATGGATGTAAACAAGTATATGACATGAACCTTTGTACCGCTAAGCACTTTCAACCCTCCACAAAATGAAACAGCCAGGAGCCTTGCATATGAAAAACATTCTCTGAGAGGAATGCAAATTATAACTGAAGGAAACGGAGCAAGGCCGCGCCAGGGGAGTCTAGTTCCTTCTTCCTCTTTGTGGTCATCAGGGCGGAAGGACAAAGGCTTTGGCAGGCTACAGCTTGCTGTCTCAGGTCATGGAAGCCCATGTGCACCAAGTCTATTGTCACTCAGCTGTCAAAAGGGCAAAGAGGGACTTCCAGGGCAGCCCTTAGTAACAAGGAACGCAAACCCAGAGGGTGCTACACCTCTTACAGTTATACAGCCTTTATGCTTCAAAAAGCAGTTTCCACCCACTGTCCCATTTGATCCTAATAAGAACATGGTGTGTTAGGTAGGGTGGGCACAATTTTTCCCATTTAGCAGATGGGGAAACTGAGGCACAAAGACTAGGTGAATTGCTCAAAGTCATCCAGTCACTGAACCAGGATTAAAGCCTGGACCTCACACTTCCAAACCCAGTGCCCCCTTCCATGTGCTCTGAAGACCTGCGTGCCGAGGCCTCACCTTTCTCGTAGGTGGCACCCCACCCAGAAATCCAGCAGTCCTGCTCCGGCTCCAGCATCAATCCTGGGTTGGGCAGACACACTGGCTTCATTCTATCTGTTTTAAGAAGAGAAACGCCATGAGCCAGGCTGGCCTCACTGCAGGCCTCGGGCAATGGTCTCCCTGGCCCTCCCACAGGCAGGCAGAGGGCCTGGCACCACTGCCATCCTGGCCAGAAATCCAGATCCCAACTGTCCCGCACTTCCACTTTCTGCCCCTGCCAGGCCCCTCCCTCCAACAGGCCAGAAGTTCCACTCTGGAAGTTGTGCTGCTTAAGAATGGAACATTTGCTAGCTCTGCTTCTAGAAATACATAATTAACGTGTCCAGGTGACATAGCATAGAAAAAACACACACATGGCAGTGGCCAAAAAGCCAACAGTGTGGCTGGACCCTGAGGACCATGCTGGACACACCCCATCTCCCACGGATGGGTCCTTCTACATGTAAACTCTGCTCAGGAATCCTGTCACACATCGGGCCTAGACCCCTCCCTGAGGCTTTAACGCCATTATGGCAGGACTGGGTCTTACCTTTAAATGCCAGAGCATTACGTGGTGCATGGTAGATGCTTAATAAAGGTGTACTGATGAACAGACTTGAAGTCCAATATTAATTGAGGTATTTCCTTTACTTTTTTCCCTTTTAAGAGAATCCCAACTCCTAGAGAGCCCTGAGTATCTGGGGTGGGAAGGGTGGGAAGGAAGACAGGAGGAGTCTTATAAATGCCACAGATCAGAGACACTGCATGAACTGTCTAAGGCCACACAGTCAGAGAATGGCTGGGTCAGGAGACGGCCATGCCCAGCCTCACTCTAAAGCAGAAAGCACACCTGTGGAGTGAGGCTTCCTCCAATAAAGGCATGTGACCCCAAAAACTGTGTGCTTAAGAAAAAGAAGATGGAAGGCCACTTCTACCACAGGAGCTAATAGGATAAATTATGGCCACCCTCACCCCTTCCCACCCATCTGCATGGGCGATGTCATGGCCAGAGATGCTCAACCCCAGAGACTTCCCGGCAGGACAGTGTGAGGTCCTGAGCGGCACATGTGCCCTCCCCTGGGAGGACCTCCAAGATATGGGACCTCAGGAGGGCAGGGGCTTCAAGCGGGGCTGAGAGGAGTCTGGGCACAGGACATGCTGGAGACATCTCAGACCCACGTGCCATGCATGTCCCCTGCACTGACGCACCCTCTCTATGCTCACACACAGGACACTGGAGCTGCAGATCACGCAATGGGGACCTACTCTTCCACGCAGTGGGCAGCCGTCACGATCCACTTAGGGGTGATGATGGAGCCTCCGCAGACGTGCACACCCTGGACATGCAGGCTGACCTGCCAGGGCCATTCCTCCAGGCTGGCACTGTCACCACCCACGATCCTGCTCTGGCGGCTCGACTTGGAGCTGACTCCGCACTCTAAGGGCGACAGGCATAGCAGCAGTTCTGAGAGGAAGCAGGGGCCCCTAGACAACCCCAATGCCCACAGCTGTCCCAGTCTTGTCTGGCTGGGGCAGACCATTACCCTCTCGCCTACCCCCTCTCCCCTCTCATTCCCTTTCATTTGGGGTCTGACGGAGAGAACTTATTCCAGTCCCTTTTTGGTAGATGGGAGAAGAGGACGCTCATCCGGCCCCTTCTCCCCCCCACAAGAAAGCACCTCTTCTGCTGCCTCATCAGACAACTTCCAGTTGGCACATGGGTGATGCCAAGGGGGTCTCCCAAAACTCATGTTGGGGGGAGTTCTGGATGACCAAGGACCCTGGGGCCTCCTTGAGTCCCAGAGGGACTGGCAATGCTCAGAGGCCCCAAGATTCTTAAACATCAAAGGAAATCAAGGTGGGAATGGGACTGTGAGGGTTAGTGGGCAGGAGTGAGGTGAGTGATGGGGTGAGTGAGGGGGTGAGGGAGGGGGCGAGGGAGGGGGCGA